CAAAACACAAGCAGTCATTTTCAGTTCTGGCTAAGCCAGGCTCCTTCCTATCTCCTGGTTGCTCCCATGACAAATTTCAGAGTCCAAATATCCCTCATTAGCTGTCTTAGTTGCTATGCCTATTCATTGGCTGACCTTGTTACCATGTGTCAGCTGATTACTATGGATGCTGGTAGGCAGAGGCAGAATTTTTCTTCTTCTTATTTTCCTATACTTCGGAGCATCTTATACTCCCAAAAATATGGTATGTTAAAAAGTAAAGGCATATCATTTCTGTATTATTGTCAAGAAAATCACTTGGATAGACCTAAAACATATTTTCATGCCAGATTATGCTCACTGGTTAGGATTAAAATAAAACTGCTAATTACCGGGAAGATAATCTGGAAGTCATAAACTTGGACAAAACCATAAAGATATCTGGTTGTTGAGAAAATTCAGTAATTTCAAATTTGGAAGAAGAGTTCCTTGATTAAAAGGACAGTCAGAATGTGGAATAAGGGAACTATAAACCAAGGAGGACTTGGAATTAGCAAAGTGGAAATGAACCATGCAAATTGGATATTTTAGGTCTGTCAATTTAGTTTTACCAAAATGAGCCTTTTCAAATCAGATGAATATATTGATAAAGACTTCAGGTCATAAGACCATACAAAGGAATGAAGTGTCATTAAAACTCAAAATAATCTCAGCTGTAATTCAATAAATGATAAATTCCTATCTATTAGAATTACTTAATATCTAGTGAACATCAGTGTTACACAAATATTTCAAAATCAGTGACGGAAGAGAGAAAATTTATAACAAATTGTAAGAAGCACTACATGCAGAATATAGAAAGGATGTACTACTAATGGCTAATTGGAGTGCTGACATTTAAGTAAAAACTAGTCATCAATAAAGAGCAAAAGAAAAAAAGTTGCCTTCAAATTATGGAGTTCTGTTGTGAACAACCAATTAGATTTTAGGCTGAATAAAGATGAGCCACTTCCTTAGAACAATGAACAACAATATATGTTTGGCATGCGATGTGAATCAATGATGGTCTAGAAAAAAATGTTTACTAAGATTCAGAGACATTGAAGAGGAAAACAGATATGGTAGATGTTCAGTGTTCAGGAGAATGCTGAAATATCCTTAAAAGAGTGACAATTGAGATAGCAAGAAGTTGTCCATATATTCATAAGGCATTAGGACCAAATCATGCCATCTAGTTATATTTACAAGAAAATGTCTTATACTTAAGGTAAAAATGTATCCTGTCAGCATTCTTAGCCAATTAAGATTTACATTAATAATGTGATTACTATATGAAAGCTTTATAGAATTAATGTTGAAACAGTATCATTTAAGAATATAATTTACAAATCAATACTATTGAAAAAGAAAACGAGCTGTTGTGATACTTTCATTTTNCTGCGTATCGTCCGCGTATTGGTGATATCTTATCCCATGCCTCCGAATGATCTCGCCCAGCGGTTTCATGTAGATGTTAAATAGTAGGGGGGACAGGATATTACTTGCCAATTTTTTTTTGGGGGGGGGGGAAGCATTCAGTGAGAGTTGCAGTGGGACCACAGTTTGGAATAATCAAAAGGAATAATGCAGGATTTGGCATTTTTTTGGTTAGTGGCCAGCAAGCCTATTTTTGGAAAACAATGGCTACAGTAGGTAGAAATCTACTTTTTATACAATGTTGGAGAACTAAGTTTCTCTGCCTCCCTACCTACACCACCAATTGTTATTGCTTTGTTTTTATAACTATAAAAAAATATATTTTAGGAGTGATGATTCATGCTTGTCCAATCTCTCTATAAAATGAAATCAAATCAGTACTAATCAAAGAAGATGGTGTGATCTTCAAAAAAGTGGCTTGGAGACTACAGTGAACCCTAGAGCTTCATACAGCTTTAAAATATTGTTATATGCTTGTTCCTCTACGTGGCAGCAAAATGCTTAATACCCCGAGAAAAGAAAAAAAATAGGAAGAGAAAAAAACAGAGTGTGGACAAGCAGGTTTTATTACCCATAGCAAACAAGACATTCTCTGGAGACCTATCAGTAGAAGGTTCTCCATCCATCATGCTTTGCCATTCTCCCCCTCCTTCATATATGCCCAACTATGCTCAGCAGAACAACCTGAGTTTAGGTCACTCCAGCACTCCATTTTACAGGGCAGTCTGCCACTTACCAACACAACTACTGTTAGCTATTATCATATCCATATTAACTACTAACTGGTCAAAGCCATGGATGAATACAGACCAGTGGTGGGATTCAAATAATTTAAAAACCGGTTCTCTGCCCAAATAACCAGCTGGGTAGGCGGGGCTCAGCGGTCATGTGACTGTGTGGGCATGGCCAACTCAGCGTCACTCATGTCAATGGGCGCTTCGCCTTAGCTGTTACAATGTCATAAGGGTTAACCGGAGAGGCAGTTTCTGTAAGCAAGGCAATAAAGATTAGGCTAGAAACAACACCAGAATCTTTCCTTAGTCCCTTCCTTACAGGATTAGCCCTGTAAAGTGTGTGTGTGGGGGGGGAGGAGATTTCTTACAACAACCAGTTCTCCGAACTGCTTAGAAAGTTAACAACGGTTCTCCTGAATAGGTGCGAACTGGCTGAATCCCACCACTGATACAGACTTGTACTGGGCAGTGCAGAATTAACAATACAAAAAATGAATGAAGCCAGGTTAATAGGGCTGTTCTTCTGTCATTTGTCTTCACGATAGTACTTACCATTATTTTTCTCTTATTTTTCCCAAACATGTTTTTTCTAATTCCTTTGAAATGTTTTGGGGCACAATTCCTGTGGTAAAAATTTAATCTGAATTAAAAAGTTCTCCAAATGTGACATGTTTTCAATTCATCTTTTCTTTTGAATTTTTATAAGCATCAATTTTTAATTTTTTTTCTGCTCCTAGGGAAAGGCTTAGGAACAAAATAAGGTATTATATACACTAAAACAATCTCCCGCCAGCAAAGTTTGAGGTCAACCCAAGGCACCAGGACTTAAAGCTCAACTCCTTGCAAATAATTAACATCAGGAATATAAACAGCTGTTTTTCCATCTGCTTTCAGCGTCAACGTTTCTCATCTTTCTCAGTAAATATAGAATGGTGCTATAACATGTTATGTGCAGTATGAAAAATATTCTCGTAACATCAATTTATGTGGAAACCTGCTTGCATTTCCTAAATTCATGGCATGGGAACGTCCTGAGAAATTTCATTTCAGTTTATTAAGCCTTGCTCTTAAGAGAGCAGCGACTGGACTTTAAGACAATACTGTAATAGCACAACTTTTAGTTATCATTGCGCAGGAGTGATCAACACAAGCATTATTCATGCTAAACAAAGGGAATAAAAAAATACCGTCATTAGGATCCTGTCTTACGCCGCCGAGAAGCTACTCCCCCACCCGGCTTTATTTCACTGGCCATGCTAACTTAAAAGCAGCGATGGGAACGGCAGTCCACCACTTCCATTATAATTTTGTCTGCCCCATCACTGATAGGTTCGACACTTTCGGGGTTTCTCTACCACCTCTCTTACATTGTCGCTTTTGCGACGCAAACAAGCTGGGCAAAGGGGGTTACATCTTTCAGTGGAAATAAAAGCACTTTGCTAAGGTGGCAGACATCGGGGCATCACTGGGCAGTAAACGAACTCTTCCGGCTTTCCGGCCGTCTGGCGGGCGACCGAAGCCTCGCAATCCAGATCTTAAAGGCGAGGCCCCGTAGGCTCCGCCTCCTAGCCCAAGGCCACGCCTCCTTTGTTTTCCCTGGACCCTTGAGTGACGTTGTCGGGGCCTGGCCTCAGTCGCGTGGATAGGGGCGGGAGGCGGCAGGAGAGCAAATATGGCGGCGGTGACGACTGTAGTTGCGCTGGTCATGGCCAGCGCGGAGGGAAGCGGGGCAGTAGCTGCCACGACACTCGCCGCCCCCGGAGCTCGCTTTCCTCCACGAGCGGCGGAGCGAGCGCAGTAGCCCGACGGTCCCGAACCTCTGCGCTCCGACTCGGGACATGGAGGCGCTGAGGACCGGCGAAGAGGGCGAGGAGCCTCCCAAAAGCATCCGCATTCTTGGGTCGGAGCTGGTGGAGACCTACACGGTGAGGCGGGGTGCGAAGGAGTTGTGAGCGTGTGTGTGTGTGTGTGTGTGTGTGTGTAAGGTCTGGCGTGTCAGAGGCATCGGCCTTCCCGGGGTCCCATGAAAAAACGCCGTCGGTTCAGTCGTTAGTGCGAAAGGGGCGAGAGGCTGGCTCCCTGTCCGGAGCATTTTCGGGCATCCTTGTGAACTTCCACGTCTTTTTTTGACGGGGAAGAAGGACAAGCACCCAGATTCATTCGCGTGGATGCTCGGGGCCAAGCTGTCTTGGCCGGTGCTCTCCGTGGTTTTAGAGTTTCACGGAGTTCTTCAGTTCCTGGGGAAAAACAAAAGACAACAGCATCCCCAGAGGAAGGAAATTGATGTCTCAGCAACAAGCTCTGGTAGCTAAGGTGTTGTCTTATTCCGGGTTGAGGTAGCAAGTCGTCCGTTTTCCGAAGTTGGCGCCTTCCAGACAGGTGAGGCTCTAGTTCCCATCATTCCCTGCCGGTATAACCAAAGCGCTGGCAACAAGGAATGGGCTGTCTAACTTACCTTGAAGGGGTTTGGTTGGGAAAGACAGAAATTTGCCCCCTTTCTTCTGAATAGGCATGCAGCATCCCTTGGCAAAGGAACTAAAAATATAATATGTGGCTTTAAAATAAAATGTGGAAAGAATGATATTCTTGCATTTGAATCCAGCTTATGAAATTGTTGATAGAAATCTTATTAGTTGACATTTTTGAAGTCTGCTGTAGGCAAAAGGAAAATTATTGGTGTAATGTTTTTCCAATAACATTATTATTACAGATGTCCTTTTATACAGAGTTATATCTCTAATAAATATATATCATTTTCTGACTTGATGTTTTAAGAGCTAACATTGCAAAAAGCTTTAATATTTTTTAATATATAATATACTTTAGTTGCTTTGTTATATAACCAAAATGGGCTCATCTGCTAATTTTTCATTTAGTTAAATAGTTTTTATCTATGAATTTTTTTATGTGGGCATATTGTTTTAGTGATCTTTTTAATGAACTGATAATGTGCTATGAATAGGCTTTATTTCATTGAAGTTTGCATCCAAAATATCAATAATCAGAGTTTTTATTGACATGCTTTGCAAAAATATTCAAGTTTATATTTGGGAACATTTTTACTTAATCAAAAGAAAATGAACATTTAAAGAGACCTTTGAGATGAGTTCAGTTTCCAGGGACTATATTGATACATTTATATACTGTAGCTTTCTTGCATCAAAATGCATGAGTGCTTTTTGAGATGGTTTGCATGAGTGCCTTTTGAGATGGTTTCTGATTTCTCAATCTGATCTGTAGACCTGGAATTTCTTGGTTATTTTCCATGCAAGTGCTAATGAGTTCTAACCTTTCTAAAAAAATTAGAGCAGTGAAGATCATTCAGATTTATTGGAAACAAGATAAAGTTTAATGCCGTAGTTCTAAATTTAATGTTTGCTTATATATACAATTTGTAAGACATAATCCATGGACTAGCTAAAAATGATAAAAATATGTTTTCAGCAGAAGTGAGTAAAAGTATGTGGTTGAGTTTTTCATGTTGAAATCAATTTGCTGGATCGGTTTGGTTTGTTATTGAACAGCAATATTTTCAATTCCAGGCACTGCAGTAGAAAAAAATGGGTAGAAAGCTTATTGCACAATGTCATTAGAGTGTCAAGAATAAAATAAATCGAAGGTATAGTTGTGCAACTTGATATATGATAAAAATCTGATATATAAAATCTTGCGATTTAGAACATAGCAAGAAGTTGGAATAGTAACCTTCCATTTTTGTAGGGTGACAGATTAAAAGCTTTCCATTAACTGTGTTATGAAGTTTATCCTGTCCTGACCTAATACCAGATAAAAGGGTTGGATCTACAACCTGAAGAATTCCCAGTTAGTATGATTTGCTCTTTCCCATTTTGGTGAGAATTGTGAAAGAAAAACACACAATGCACCCCAAAAGCACTGGATTGAAAAAGAGCTATTTAGTGATCCTCTGCATTAGTCTCAGTCAGGATCCTATATATCCTTGTAAGTATTATAGAAAGGATGTTATTTTTCTTCCCACTTGTTTGTTTTCACCAACAAGTGTTCAAGTTTTGGAAAAACTGAACTGCAAGGCAGAATCTGTTACAATAAAAAATACACTTTCAAATCTGTAGTTTATCTGCTGTTGATTAGAAGAATAGAAAGCATGGGCTGGATTCAGCAGCACCCTTAAGTAATTCACAATTTTCTGAAATTCTGACTTAGCATTGTACACGATTATGACTCACATCTTCTAGAACACGGGTGTCAAACTCAATTGCACCATGGACCGGATCATGACGTATCGTGACATTTTTTGCCTTTGCAGAGCTGGGGGTGGGGATGACCTGCGCATAACGTATCCGGCCTGCGGGCCACCAGTTTGACAGACCAGTTCTAGAAGTATACTATGCTGCTAATAACTTTATCCTCTTTCATAAGGTCCAATGTGAAATCTTATCTGTGCCTATGGCTAAAGGGGATTTTGTATTTATTCATCAGACTTTATGTATTCACTATCCTTTTAGATTATTTCTCTGATGAAATCT